ACATATATGTATATATGAGGGAGGAAGGGAGGGAGGGGGTGTCATTCATCGCGTTTGTCTCCCCCCTCCTTCCTTCCCTTGCTCCCTCCTCCCTTCCTCCCCTCCTCCCCTTCGTCCCTACCTCATGTCACACAACCGCAAGTCGTAGAGCTTGTCGCGGGCCGCATTGGCTTGCCCCATATTCGAAGATTTGAATTGGCACCTACATGAGGGAAGAGCCAGGTCGGGAGGGAGGGAAAAGGAAGGGCAGGGTGGACGAAAGCATAGATGCGTGCGACCACACAAAAAAGTCCAGGATGCCCACAGACGCCCCCATCGCCTCAAGATTCATAAACGCCTTTATCTCCTCAGGATTCATAAACGCCTCCATCTCCTCTACATTCATGCCCTTTCGACACTCTCTTTTCCTCCTCCTTTTGCCGCATCTTGCGCAAATCACCTCGTCGTTCCCTATCCCTCTATCCCTCCACGCCTGGTCCCTCCTGCTCCCTCCCTTCCTACCTCCCCTTATCCGTGGTGTCGACGGGGGGGAGGACAAAGCGGGAGGTGGCCCCATCGGCGATTGCGGGGGGGGGGGAGAAGGTGACGGCCGCAGGGAAGAGGACGGAGAGGACAGCCACGGTCAGTTTTGGCAGAGAGGGAGGGAGAGCGGGGATAAAGAAGGAGGCAGTGTCGGAGCGGGGAGTCTCAAGAGGAGCGCTGCAAAGCCAAGGGTTATCAAGTGAGGATGTGGGCGAGCAGAGGAGCGAGATGGACAAGAAAGAGGGTAGGCAGGACCGTGGACGAGGAAAAGGAGCATGGGACAGCAGAACGACCAGTGATGAACAAGAATGAAAAAGGAGATGTAGGTGGAGATAAAGGGAGCCAGAAAGAGTGTTGATGACGTACGTGCGGGACGGGGGGGTGGGGCTGGGGAAGCGGAAGAGGAAGGCCTGCACAGGTGCGACAAGGAGCGACAGGACAAGAAAACTGATGGAGTGCATGGCGACGTGGTGGTATATCCCTGTGTGTGGTGCGTGTTTCATGTTGTCCCGTGTATTTGAGTAAAGGAGTGAAAGATCAGCACATGCATTGATTCGGCGGATGTCTGGTGACAAGCATGCCCCAGAGGCTCGCCAGGACAGGCACACCACTGCCCATTTTTCCACGCCTGGCGCACGGTCCGATGCCTCCGTAAGTCAGCGCGACGGTTTCCGGTACCACCTTGGTGAGGTTGGCCATCGTGACGGGAAACATGAGACATTTCTCGAGGGGCGGGGTCGGACATGGTCGACTTGACGCGGGCGGGAGGAATGGGGTGGCCAAGCTCACGGGCTCTTTGGGGGACTGAAACCCAGCTTTGCTGGCTCACATGCATGTTACAGTGAATGATCGCGGTGCGATGCATTGGCTTGTGTACCTGTCACCACCATTTGAGCCGGTCAGATGGTTAATTCTGACGTACGTCAAGAAGCCCGCCATGGATGCCCCTCTCTGTTCAAGAAGCCGATTGCTCCATCGTCAGCGTAATCAAACGGGCACCCAAAAAGCCATTCAATACTCGCACCATCGCCCATCATGTGACTGGCTACTGTATCTGTATCGTGTCTGTGCAGCAACACGCACATTGCTTTGTTATGGGACGAGAAGTGTCCCCCTCTTTGGAGATCTTCCCTCATCACGCCCTATCGCTCGAAGAGCGTCAAGGGCCTGAGTCAATCTCTCCCTCCCTCCCTCCCTCCCTCTTATACTACATCTTGCGAAAAGTAGTCCTCACTCCCCTTTCTCTCGCGACCATACGCACAGGTGCATCGCGAGAACGCTGGTGCCATCGCGCATGACAAGAAGCAATTCCAGCATGGCCCAACACCTCCCCCACCTCCTCCTCCTCCTCCTCTCGCAAAACATTGCCGCATTTTTTACGTCTTCCCGCGCGCCAGCAACCTATTTCTCCCGTTCAACCCCGTCCATCTCCGGGCCTTCTCGACATGCAGTATTGGCCTCTCCTTGTGTTTTGCCACCAGCCCTCTCGGGAGCCGCCTCCACCTCGCTCCACGCTGTTGTGGGCACCGGGGGCGGAAGCCGTCGAAGGGGAAGGGGAGGAAGGGGAAGGGGCAGAGGGGACGACGACGATGGGCGGCCTTTCAATATGAGTGACGACAAGGTAAGCGGCGGGTGGAGGAAAAAACGGAAAGAGGGTGGAGAGAGAGGGAGGGAGGGTGGCAGCCAGCCCGACGTGGAGACGTGTACGCATGCGGCTGCTCCTCGAAGCACGCCAAGCCTGACTTTTTGGTTTCTCCTCCTGCTTTTCCTCCTCTTATCCCCCCTACGGCGTTAGAATTACGAAGAATTTTTCCGGCAGCGGGAGGAACGGCGAGCGTTGCAGTACGAGCAGCAGATCGAGGAGGCCTACTATGAAGGCGTCGACAAGAACGTCAGGTGCTCCCCTCGAAATACCTCCTCCCTCCCCTTCCTCCCCGCATCTAGACACCTCTCCGCTCTCTTTCCTGCCCCCTCTGCGATTTCCTTCTTGCTTTTCGCAATGTTTCCCCGTGGAATGACCTGTCCCTCCCTCCTTCCCTCCCTCCTCCCCTCCCTCCTCTGTCCTCCCTCCCTTCCTCTCCAGGTTCATGCGGGAGGATCCCAACGCCTGGGACGGCACACCGGATCGATTCACGTCCTTCTCCAGAGAGCAGGCATTGGCCTTCGCGGGCGCCACCGTCATGGGCGACCGGTGCGGTGATGGTCTGGCGAGGGTAGGGGAGGGGAGGGGGGAAGGGAGGGGTTGAGGGAGGGAGGGGGGCCGGGACAGTAGTAAGGGTAGCAATACAGGAAAAAGAGAAAACGGATGAGGGACAACTAGGGTAAGGATCCCCTTGCAGGGGCGAGACCGTCCTGACCCCTCCCCTCCCTCC